GCGGCGGTGTGCCCGCAGGCGTTTTACCAGGCACTTCTAATTTAAAGACCATTAACAATCTTTTTGTCTGTTTTCTTTGGGTTTCTCGTCTTTATTTCCTTTCCTGATCCTTGTGTTCGACTCGGTTCCTAGTGTGTGTCTCCCTCTCGTGGTCTGTCCTGCTCTGTGTCATGTAATCGAGTCCCTGCCTCCTACACCTGTTGTCAGTCCCAGGTGCTTTCACTCGGTCTCGTCAGTGTTTCTGTATTTACCTGTAAGGATGCGTCTCCTGTTCTTCATGGTCTTGGTTTGGTTCCATCTTCCTGTGCTCCTCCCTTCATGTCTCCTCCTTACCTTGTAAGTTTTTGCTGCCACGCCAGCCCTTTGTTTTGTTAATAAATGATTTATATCCTCAGAGTCTCCGTGGTCTGTCTGCGCTGGGATTCGACAGTAAATCATCGTTTGTGACTACCATGGTGTCGGGTGGTGTAAAGCCTCCATCTCCCTTTTGATTTACGTCTCTTTTGACCAGTCGGGCCGATCTATGGTCTCTCCAGAACCAATAATATCGACCAAGTTTGATACTTTAAGTGTTTGGACCAGGGACAACCGCACTCTATTGCATCCAGATCTGACCAATCAGATCTGATTGGTCAGATCTGACCCAATCAATCAGATCTGACCAATCAATCAGATCTGACCAATCAATCAGATCTGACCCAATCAATCAGATCTGACCAATCAGATCTGATGTCTATTCTGATGCCACAAACATATTATAGCCAATCAAATTCCCATCAGATGAATATACAATGGTCGTGGTCAAAATCTACAATGGAAATTGGAAACAAATTGTAATTTTTTTTTTTACTTTGTTAAAGGCTAACAATACTTTGTATTGCTAGTTGTTGTTTTTTTTCCACTAAAAGATGGTGAAATGTACTGTAAAGAGAAACTATAGCTCTTATGAGGTGGCTGAGAGGTTTAAGAGAAGGAAAAGTGATGTTTGTGACAAGGAACTGGATAAATAAAAAAACAATCAGAGTTTTTGGTCAACAAAGCAGACGAACTTGAAGGTTCTTTGTTTTGGACTTTTGTCAGAGGCCGGCATCAGATCAGAGCCATTAAAGTCCTGTGCGAATAAACTTGATTTGAGGATATCATTCTGTTTCAGTCGAAACTCGTTGGTACAAACGGAAATCAAACGCACACCGTCTCCTGACCAGGTGGAGGTCAGAGGTCATCATCGCCTTCTAATCAAAGCAGTCCAACACTTGAAGTTGGCTCTCACAGCACCTGAAACAAAACTGAAGGATGGCTGATGGTATTTTCAGAGAAAAGGAGAGGTTGCCCTCTGGTGGTCACAAAGTTTACATACATGCTGTGCCACCAGTCACAAAGTTATGACCTCATTCATTTTTTTATGATAAATCACTGAGCAGAACATAATATCACACCCTGGACGTTGAACATCAGCTGTTCCAGTTTCTGACACCAGAGGGCGCTGCAGCACTGAGATTCTGATTAAACTGGGCCCATCAAAGACTGGAAGCTCCCATTAAACACCTGCTGACCCTTAGAGGAGCTCACCAACAAAACACTGAGGGGTCTACCCCTCATCTGGTGCTGTGTTTGCTTCGCTGGAGCAGGTTTTATGTGAGATCCTGACACTGTGAGCAGAGGAGGGCAGGGAAGAAAACAGGACTTCACTGAATAAAAAACAGCTTCTTGGTGCTTTCTGTTTACCAAAGGCAGTGACTTGTTGCTCAACAAACGGAGAGATAGCCCTGCCCTCAGGCCTCATCAGTAAAGAGAGCCCAGCTCCTACTTTGTTTTACTGGTATTTAATCTACTGAAACATCCATCCATCCATCATCTTGTTCTGAAGTCAGGTCTTGGAGGCAGCAGCTTGAGCAGGGAGGTCCAGACATCTCTTTCCACAGCCTCCTCTTCCAGGAGGACTTCAAGGTGTTCCCAGACCAACTGAGAGACATAGTCGCTCCAGCGTGTCCTGGGTCCTCCCCGGGGTCTCCTCCTAGTCAAACATGCCTGACCTCCCAAGGGAGGCGCCCAAGGAGCATCCTTACCAGATGCCCGAACCACCTCAACTGGTTCCTCTCGATGTGGAGGAGCAGCGGTTCTACTCCGAGTCTCTCCTGATAACTGAAGGGAGAGTCCAGCTACCCTGCAGAGGAAACTCATTTCAACCTCCTGTATCCACGATCTCGTTCATTTGGTCACTACTCAGAGCTCATGACCGTAGGTGAGGGTAGGAACGTAAACCGACTGGTAAACAGAGAGCTTTGTCTTACAGCTCAGCTCCCTCTTCACCACAACGGACCGGCACAGAGTTCACAATACTGCAGACGCTGCATCAATCCGTCTGTCAGTTTCACGCTCCATTCTTCCCTCACTTTTATACTGGTATTTAGCTGCCATATAATGTTCAACACGACTATAAAAGCATCCATCTAACCACGGTTGAGTTATCGTCCCCACTTAGGATCACATGAATCATTTTACAGCTGAGGTCTTATATTTGGTAAAGAAGCTCCTACAGAAAACAAGACCATCTGTCTGCCTCTGGGACACGTTTAGCTCTAATCCCATGACAACTTGAATAATAAATCTGCACAAGTCAGAAAAGGACAAGCAGAAAGTCTTCAACCCTCTGTGTGCCATAGAACATATTAGCATGCACATTTTTATTAACTTTAAAAACACTACAGCAGAAACCAAACGTAGTTTTGGTAAAAATAAATTGACTAGATTTTCAGCCCGTTGCTACAAGCTGTTTGGTGCCTATACAAGCGGTGCAAGAGTTTGGGTAAGGTAGCAGCTCTCATTGGAGCGGTTCGCAGCTGAATGTGAAGCGGCTGGGAGGAGAATCAGCACCTCCAAATCTGAGGCCGTGGTCCTCAGTCGGAAAAGGGTGGATCGATCTCTTCAGGTCCAGGGTGAGGTTCTGCCTGAAGCAGAGGAGGTCAAGTATCTTGGGGTTTTGTTCATGAGGTAGTGGATTTGCAGGTTTCTACCAGTTTACAACTCAGATTTGTGGAGCGTTTTTGATGTTTCAACTCAAAATGATGCCGTTCACGCCACACCTCTAATGTTCCAGAATAGCTCGCTGCTACCACTGAAGACATCAAGCTGTTGAAGAACAAAAACATATCATTAAGTGTTTTTATCCAGTTCAACGCACAAAACTTTTAAATCTGCTCAGAGCTAAGGCTGGGATTACAACCCGTCAGCGGTTCACTTCCCGCTGGTCAGACACGACTTTTTGTTAGTTTGGACATTTATTTTCCTTTGCAGCTCGTGTCAGTTGTGAAGTTCCTCAAGGATCCATCTTGGGGTCCATTTAATTCACAATTTTTTTTTTGCTTGAATTTAATTTTCCACAAACCCATTTCATTATGCCGATGATGCACAGATTTATATGCCCTTAAATCCAGATTATCTATTACAACAATTTATCGGCATACTGCTTGATGAATTTTATACGTTTTTATCTTCTGAACGGGTCCTTTCAGATGTTCCACTTCTAGATTGGTCCGTAATGGATATTGTTCCTTTCAGCTTTCCAAAGCTGTTGAATAATCTTGTGCTCTTAATCAAGCGTGCCTCCTGGGTCAAAGCTTTTTAAACAGCTTAGGATTCATTTGTTGTTCTAAATTGCAATGAATGGCTTTGGTTTTCAGTCTGTCTCTTTACTTGTTTTTATACTCCGCGTTTCAACATCTCTCGTCCCGTTTCCGTTTTGTGTTCATCCCTTCATGTATTCAATTTGTTTTACGGTTTTACTGTAGAGCACTTTGGTTGTTTTAAATGTGTTCTATGAATAAAGTTGGTTTAATCTCTGCACTTTGAGTTCTGCTGTCTTTAAAGCTGAGGAGAAAATCCAAGTTTTTAATGTCCCTGTAGTTTTATCTGCAGTACTCTGAGAGGTCACCATACTGAGACGCAGCACAAATAAGAGATGACTTTGCAGGGAGTGTTTATTCTCATCAACTGGAGTATTTGGGAGATTACGAGGCCGATTTTAACTCTTCAAACCGGAACACTGGAAACATGGGCGGGCAGAGGCCGTTTCTGAGAAACGCCACCACTGTAAAGATCAGTGAAGTAACCGCAGATCAGCTCCAATCTGAGGTGCGTTTATAGAAAAAGACCATGAGATTAAGGTCAGGACGGGAAGATGTGCCGTTCGTATTTTACTTTGGAGGATTAGTGCTGCAGATTTAGTTTCACTGGAACGAGTGATGCTGTTGTCGGAGGAGCACGTCTGATGCCGTCCTAGAGGAGCCCAAAGAGGCCTTCTGCAACAAACCAAGACTTTCCAAACTGGATGTGTAGACTTTAATCTGTGGCGTTTAACCACAACAGGAAAAATAAAAACCACGTCTGAATTAACTACTTTTTCAGAAATGATGCAGCTTCTTCGCCTGCGTGTTTTCCGTTACTGCATCTCTGGATCTAAAGCTCCCAGCTTAAAAAATAAATGTCTCTGCAGTTTCTGAGAAACGGAGAGCAGCGGAGCGTTCTGGCCCCGGCCCTGGAAATTAATCCTCACATCGCCCAACCTGGGAATATGTTGCCACGTTTGGAGCGAAGCCAGCTGGGAGATAAAGATGAGTCATCAATCAGCTGAAACCAAACTGCTGACAAATAAGAAATATCGAGCCTCAGTCTTAATCGAGCAGCAGCGGTTTGTTTTCTGGCCTTTGAAACAGTTCGTTTCATTTCCTTCCTTCCTGCGTTGATTTCCCAGCATGCATCTGCTGCGGTGAAACGTTCTTGCTGCGAAAAGCAAAACGTTTCGAGTGACATCTTAACAAAGCCATTCTTTTTGTAAGAGCGAAATAAAACCAAAAACACTCGTCAACATTTTATTGAAACACCCACCCCTCCCAAAAATACAATAAAAATAAAATTCTGTGAAGTGTGGATTGTCCTCCAACAGCTGCAAACCGTTTACTGAACTGAAACTGTGGATCCCCACAAACAGAGGAGACGTCTTCATGGATCAAAACATATTTTAGGACAAAAAAAACAACTTCTAACAGCTTATAGTCAGAACTGGATCAGTAGCAACAAAGAGCGGCACGATCAAGAAAAACACAGGAAGAAAACCCAAACGAGGCGCTGATGGGGAATGTAGGTAAATATTGCTTCATGTACATTAAGGGTTAGCTAGATTACACTTAATCACAATAATCTGGATTAACAGACTTGAATCTTTGGGGTTTTGTTTAGCTGCTACTTCTAAAACTGATGGGAGTTATTTCTGCATCCAACGCTGCTAATGAGTTTAATTTTACTGGTTGGGGCAAAAACACATAATTAAGACTCATAAAAACAAACATTGCACACTTGTCTTTAGGCACAAACCCCCCCCCCCCATTCATTAAAGCTTTTGACTGGTGCAGGGTTGTACTGTGACGTGTCTGCGGGAAGTTCAGGTAAACCTGCTTCTGTGTCCCAACAGCTCATTCCTAACAGTTTCACGTGTCAACGTCGTAAAACACAAAGATCTTCACCCGTGCTCATCCCGGACACGCTCCACCTCCTGCGCCCAAACGTGCAATTTCCTGTTCGATAGTTACTGAAAAACCAAGATGCTCAGCTGTGAGACGGAGAGGCTTCAGCAGGTCAAACCCCACCTCCACATTCAATCGTGTGCACGTTTGATTCGAACATTTAATCAGCTCACCTGAAGCCGGTGACACGTGCTGGAATGATGCCTCGACATGTTGCAGAGAAAAGTGTTGCCATGTGCTTAAAAGTAGCAAGTCAGCCATTCATTTATATAAAGAAAATATAATTCACTTCATCACCATTTTTTCCTACACATACCCTGAACACAGCGCGTGTAGTACACAGCATTCATAGTTTTTGATTAAGTTGTCAGAGGAGAAATGTGTTGAAACTTCTCCTGAAAGTCCAGTTGTCTGGTTCATGGCAGCAGGGACATAGAATGAGGAAGCAAGAGGGGGAAAAGGCCAAAGTACACGAAGTGACGATTTAATTCAGTCCACGCCACTCCCAGCTTCTCCCATCTGTCGTGTTCAGCAGAGGGGAAGACGCAGCAGTCCGCCTCCAAGTTACGAGTCTGTATGAAAAAGGACGACGCATCCATCTGTGACGGACGACATCACGGGTGGAGGGTTTGGGTCAGGGAGGTGTCAGGAGACGGCGGCAGTCACTCTTCATCAGAACTGCTGTTCTCCAGAGAATAAACCATAAAGGCCAGGTCGGGCCGGGCCGGTACCGTCGGGTGGCCTGGCTTCACCATCTCAAAACCCATGTAGTGGAAGGTCCTGATGATGGTCACTGGTGGGGGACAAGAGAACAGAAGGAGGGGGAGGAGTCAGTCAGCTTTACAGAGGAGACTACGGGGAAACATCCAGGTGAGGTCAAAACCAACGAGGCGCCAAAAAACTCCAACCTAAAGTTCAGATTTAAAATTTTACAAAATGGACATTTTCAGAAAATATTTCCTCCAAGGCCTTCTCCAAACACGGTTTTATCAAAGCAATCTTTTTATTTGCCATTTCTAAAAATAACTGCGAACACGGCAGTTTCTGAAAATGCCTCCGTCCACACAGAAAACGCACCAGTAGCCATTTGCTGGGCGTGGCTCAACGTGAGGAGCGTGCACGTAAAGTTTGAACTCTTGGTAAGAACCAAACTCGAAGCAGTCTCCCTCGGCCCCGTCTAGTTCTCCACGGTGAGTCAGGGATGAGGCGAGTTGTTGGACTCACACTCGTCATCATCAGGGGGTTTAGACGTAGGTCAGTAACTGGGTTTTGTTGCATCTGAAGCATTTGGGCTGTAGATCGCCGGAACGTTCTTTGTGAAATTAGGCTACAGGTGGGGCTCTGGCATCATTGTGTTTTGGCTGTCCACATGAAAATGCAATGGTGGAATGTGAAAATTTAGTCACTCATTTTTGAAAGAATACAATTTTTGGGTCACTAAAATTATGTTTATGTGTAGAAGCAAAGCTGAAACGATAACATTAAAAAAAATAATAATTGTTTTTACAAAGCGTTGTTCCCGTTTGGACAGCTCCTTGCATCACCTGCAATTTCCAAACTATTCAGCACACCTGAATATAAGCCACGCCCACTCAAAAATAAATTGTACATATATAGGCTGCACTTGTCTCTAAGCCGTGAGCGTCCACGTTGGATCATGAGATATTTACACTGAAAGATTTTTTTTTTTTTTACTTTTAATTAAATACATTCTGTAAATGTTTTTGTCAGAACCGTGCCTGTAACATGGCTGGTTAAAAAAAACTAAAACGTACTTTTCACCCTGTAAGTCACGGTTTTTTGCATAATTTGCATGCCCTGTAACTTATACGCCGAAGCGACGTATTTATAGATTTTGTCCCATATTTATAAACCACTTTTGGCTGAGATATGACCATTTTCATTCATTCAGACTGAAAATATTGAACACTACCATTTTCAGCCGCTAGATGGCAGTCTAGTAGTATGGCATGCCAATGTATCATGTAATAGGTAAAAGTGGCTTGCCAAAGCCTGCCACCTTTGTCCAGCTCGCCTGGAGCAACGTCAAACCAGCTTCATTTTGCTGCACCGCCCCAAAGAAATGCAGCCGATTTGACCATTGAAGTGCATTTATTAATTAAAAGTTCAACTTGGACACACCTTTACTATAACGTTAAGCAAAATAATTGTTTTTAAGTGTTAATCTTGTTAAATTCTCGTTAAAGTCCTCCCGTGCACACTCCCGCGGCCGCCAATTGGCAGTCAATCGATTTTTGGCACAACACCGGCCCACATTGCTAGGTTGTCAGCGGTGACGCACAATAGATGCGACTTATACGGCGAAGCAACATATTTATGTAATTTTCCACTTTATTATACATATTTGGACTGATGCGTCTTATAGGGCGGTGCAACGTGTACGGCAGAAAATACGGTAAATAAATAAATAAATACAGTAGCCTACCAGGAAGTCATAAATCATATTTTCACCTTTTTCCTGCGCACTCAAAGGAAGGAGCATGGAGGACGGCTTGTGATGTCACTTTAAATGCACAATTCACACTTATTTCAAGTAGCTGCAAATACCACTCACAATGGGTAAAGGAGCAGAGAAGCGGGGGAAACAAAGTTTTTCTGTAATTTCATTGGTCAGATTTTTATTTTTACCTTTATTTATATAGATAGTCTAATTGAGTCAAGAGGATCCACCCCCCAAGAGAGACATGTATTGAGCAGCTGTGCAAGCACCCGGGTGCGATGAGGCTAAATGTTTTGGCAGCATGAAGCTCGTTAGACCATCAAAAAAATAAATCCATAAATTAGTGTTCAAAGCGTGTGAAAAAAATAAAAAAGCATCTTATAGTCCGGACATTACGGTACTCGTGAAAAGATGCCGACACTGATCTACTAAAGATGACGATTTTAAACTGGAAGCTCTAAGAATCCACTGCCTCTGAAACAAATCTACAATTTGCTCGTCATTCGTTTGTGTTCACGTCTTATTAACCGTCCTTGTGCTTCTCCACAGGTCCGTCGCTCTGAGTAAACAGCATCTTTTCAGATGCTCGCCGCAGTCTTAACCCGTGAAACAAACCATTCACATATCATAGAAAACAAACTCTTTTAATGACCGTGCACGTTTTTAAAACCATCTTAAAAACGGACGCCTCAAGAGAAAGTTTAAAAGCAGCTCTTACATCGATCTTCTCTGTTTTTATGGAACCACAGGAAGACGTAGGCAACTTTGAGCTTCTCCTCTGCGAACTGGAGCAGGGCGGTGAGCCTGCAGACCACACACAGAAATAAAGAAACAAGGTGAGGAAAAGAGGAATGGTGACGAGGCAGCCCCCCCCCCCCCATTACATAAGTGACGCAGCTTTACATAATACAGACCAACTGCTCACAGTAGGACAGGCAGAAGGCAAGGTTACTGTCTGCTCAGTGATGACGGCAGAAACAGAAGTGGATTAGCAGCATCATATTAAACCGCTTTTATTAAACTACACGGATTTGGTTTAAAAAAAAAAAAAAAGAGTTAAATGAATCTTTTATAAAGCTACAAAACAGGAAGTACATTATGCTTCTTTGACACAACGTTTTCTGTGTTTGGCGACAACACCCACCCCTCTTTGCTTCCCTCCACCAGCGACCCAGCTGGAATCTCCAGGAAGAGGCTGTCCTCTGAGAGCGCCGTATCCCAGAAGGCCGAGCGGCGCTCATTCAGCTGGTAGTGGAAGCGGAGGAGAGAGGGGTTCCCACCGACAGGATCGGCTTGAGTCACCGTTAATTTGTCATCCTGTTGTCACACGGACAGAACAGACAAAGATAAAACATGTTTTAGGATAAGGCCGTGTCCAGGCAGCTGAAACTAGATTAGATATACGGACACAAAGTCCCAGGATTAAAAAGAAAACAACTAAAACACCAGTGGCTAAATTATTAGTGTCAGGTTGTACATTTACACGTGACTGGAAAATTTTATATGACAAAGAGACAACTAGAGAAATTACATTTCCTGCGAAAATGCAGTGTGAATGCTTATTGCTGAAGAACAGCTGAAATGTAGCTGAAATGGAACAAGCCTAAATTAGCAGAAGAAAGCAGAAAAAACACATTTTTGCTTAATTAGGTTTAAATACGCAGAAATGAGCACAAAAATTATGAAATTAGCTAAAAATGCTGAACAGTAGCTGAAAAGGCAGAATGAACCCTAAAGTACCAGAAGGAAGTAAAAGGAGCTGATATGAGCTCAAAAAATATGGAATTAGCTAAAAAAGCTAAATTTAGCGCAAAGCAGATAAGTAGCTGAAATGGCAGAAAATGCTGAAGCTAGCAGCAAAAAGTTGAAATGAGCAATAATAAGTTAATTTGGCTGAAAGTAGCAGAAATTACCATGAAAAACTTTATCTAAAAACAGCTGAAATTAGCTACAAATGCTAACAAGTTAGCTGAATAGTTAGAACAAGCTTAAATTAGCTGAAGAAAGCAGAAAGAGCATGTTTGCCCAGTTAAGCTGAAAGAAGCAAAAACAAGCACAAGAATGTGGAAATTATCTGAAAAATGCTGAAATGAGCAAAAAACTGCTAAAAATAGCTAAAAAGGCAGAAAGATGCTGCAAATACAAGGAAGTGGAGAGAGCACTTTTTAAAATTAGGTTGAAAATAGTTGAAATGAGTGCAAAAAATGATATTAGCTGAAAAAGCTTAAATTTGCATACAAACAGCTAAATAGTAGCTGAAATAGTAGCAAAAGCAGAAACTTGCATAAATAAGCTGAAAGGAGCATAAACTGAAATTAGCATAAAGAAGTTAGAAGAAACACAAAAATGTAGTTAGCAGAAATAATCTGAAAAGAGAAAAAAAAAACAGCTGGAAAAAACAGCTGAAAGTAGCTGAAGAAAATGTTTAAATTTGCGGAAGCAAGCTGAAGCAGAACAAACTGTGAAAGGAGCAGTGAAAGGTTGTAAACATCTAAAGATTTGAAGGATGTAAAATGAGCTCAATACATTTTCAATGAGAAAAAAAAAAGTGTCAGAAAAGGCTAAATATTTCAAAAAGCTAAAGTTGCACCAAAAGTCACAGCAGGATTGTCCTGACAGAGCTGAACATTTTGATTTAAGATTTGTTGGAACAGCTTCAAAACTGTGGGGACAGAATCGTGCCGAAAAACATACGGAAGAAAAACGGATCACAACGTTGTGAATTCTTCATAAGAGTTCACACAAGAAATGTGTCCACGTGTGAGAAGTTTTAAGTGAAACGAGAAAAAGTGGTTGGTTGTGAAATTCTGCTGACAAACAGAAAGTTTGTCAACAACAGAAGATTAAACGCAGAAACAGATTCGAGGTAGAAGCACTTCTGCTTTCTTTCTTGACATACGCCCGGCACACGGTTATCACAACGATCACAATAAAACTGAACGTCTTTCCAGCTGTTAACCGACACGGACGTTAGATCTGATGTCGGACCCCTCAGGGACCAGATCTGAACCGTCTGCACGAGGATGCTGAAGGACAGGCAGGACTCATCTGTCTGATCCTGAACTCTAATCCTCCACAGAACGGTCAGTTCAGTCACGTGTCTGCTCCACACACACGCAGTGAAGCAACTCGTGCATTAAATTCACAGCATGTGCAGATGAGGAAGCAGATTACTGGATTATTTTAAAGAATTTAATAAAAAACGAGGTTAAAACTCATTAGTGGCGAGTCCGTGTTTAATGTGCACTGAGCCAGAAACGTCCCTAAAGGATGAAGCGCTCAGTTTACTTCCTAAAGTGCTCAGAGTAGATTAGAGCAAGTGCCACCTCTTTATTTATTGTTCATCCTTCAAAATTATTAATCTTTTTATTGGGATGTAAAGCTCTAAAGGATTTGCGGTTTAGAATTTGTCTTTTGTCTCAGACGTTTCACTTCCCGTTCTGGGAGCTTCCTAAATGAAAGTAGCGAGCGGAGTTTCAAGATTTTCTCCACACTTCCGTACGGAACAGAAAGAGCTTCTCGGATTAGAAGCATTCATTCAACCTTTATTTATGGAGGTTAATCCCACTGAGCCTCGGGGACTCATTTACAAGAGAGACCTGATAAGATCTTAGAAGTCCATGTGCTGTTTCTTGGATCCCCATCTATTTTTAGTGACTGTCCCAATACATGTGATTGAAATCCTTTAATTGTTTTTATTATTACAAAGTAAGAAAGCTAAACTTTGCACGTTTAATCATTTAACCTCGCACTCAGAGCACTTGAACGTACGGAGCATCGTGTACCGAGATGCTTCGAGCTCGATGACCCACATACAAACTGAACTATTTTTGGTTACCTTGTGTATTAGCGTGCCGTGAGAGTGATCCCTGACACTCCCTCGCCCACCCGGGATCTTCAGCTGTGGGTGAGGGGCATCAGGAGCACCACAGAGGCCCTGGAGCCCGAGGGATCGAGCTGGACACGAAAGACCCCACTAACCAGGAACTGCAAGAACAAAAACAAACCAGTCAGAGTTTCAGATTACCTCACAGAATCATAACCACATTCATAAAACTTCCCCCAACGCTCAATATTTTCCAGTAAACTCTCTCAAGAAGTGGATTTTGTGACATCTGAGAAATAACGCCACGTTACTAAAAGCTGCGATGCAAAGATGACGGTGACACAGCAGAGGATATTACACAATATTTAGGCGTACAAGTATTTAAAAAAGCATATGCAGCGAGTTTGTGGTGGTTTTTTTTTAATCACGATGGTGGAGTGCAGTGCAGTTTATGATGCAGGGCTCACGTGCACTTGCATTTCTTAGTGTGAATATAAAGCCTGGACAAGATGGCGTCATGCCTGAGCAAACGTCCTCTGGTCATTGATGATTCTTCAAATGCAAATTCCACACGATCCAGGCACAAAGTGTCACCCAGTTTGGAGAGGGTGGTGGATACAGCTAACCATACATTTAGCTGTGCTAACTAAAAAACAAATAGCTTCTACGATGTTTGTGAGTGTGGTGATGGTTTGTCTTGTTCGTGTCCTGTTTGGTTTAGTCTCAGTTGTTGGCTGTAAACCGACATCAGGAGTCAGAGGTTGTTCCCGGTATGTTCAAGGGGGGAAACCAACGAGGCAAGGAGATCCTCACTTACTGGTGATGTCACCAGGTGACACTTAGTTTAGCTTAGCTTAGCATTTTCCTGTACGCTTTTTGTAGTGTGGAGAGAGGTCGTATAAAAGCGTTCGCGGACTTAAAAGTTACCGGTACAAAATGTAGCGGAAGTTAATTGGTCCGCTAACGATTTCAGTTGGATAAAAAAAAAATGTCCTCTATTCATATTCATTACTCAAAGAAGCCGCACTTGCAGACCCGAGAAGATATTTGACCAGTTTTTACTGGCAAGGACAGACGTTCACTCGCAGGCTTACATGCATCGTGAAGCCCGGCCGCGAGAATCTGCACCGGGCAGCGTGCGAGAACTTGTTTATATACATGTTTACCGGCCCTTCACTGATGACCTCGGCCTCTCAGCTGTACATGCAGGATCACATCAGCTCCTCTCCGAGAGCAAAAAGAACTCTGAACACATGGTTCAGCATTAATTTAACACCCTTGACCAAAATTCCCCTGAAAGTTTCCAAAGTTAGCAAAAACGCTAATCCGCTAATGAAAAGATAGCATCGCTTTTAGCTGATTTGAACCGTGCCCACCACTGAGGGTCAACTATCAATGCCAACGTGCCCAACTGTGACAAACTGTTCACTTCTTTAATACAAGAAGAAATTTGATGTAGCAGCTACACCGACTGTAACTCCATAGCTCCAACCTTTAACTCCAGTCAGGCGTCTTTGGTTAAATATAGAGTGGATCACTGCCCAGACTCTTATCCCACGGGTCAGAACAAAACTAACGAAGTCAACAAGACCGTCGGGTGGAAAATCTCTGCAGACGATCGAATCACTCGTTTCAGTCCAACTGTTTATGCCGAGCCCGCCACCCAGACAAGACTAAAGATTTACCACTTCATGCAGAGGCGTTAATGACTTGTGCATGTGGTGGGGGGCACATACCGTAAACAAGCGCATGATCTCCACACACATCTGTAAACAGCTTTGTGAGTACACATCAATGGTTTTGAGTTTCAGACAAGTGTTTCAGGCAGTAACTGGACTGGGAAACTGGGAATGTGGGATTGTTTTCTGGTCAAACTCCGGCTTGTAAATTAACCACGTTATTTCCCACTATTTGGGTGAAGCTTCCCCGCGACAGTGACGCTGAAACTATACGTTCAAGTGAAACTCCAACACGTAGTCCGACTCTTTTGAGAGCACAAGTTTCCAAGGCACGTTCCACAGAGGATCAGCTACATGCACCTTGGCTCTCGTGAGAGGGAGGTGTTCCTCGTGTCCCTGCCAACCAGGAGGGCCCCGCCCAACTTCATCTGCTCAAACGGAGAGCAGGCCGTGATGCTCGGCCTGTTCACGTTGCAGCTGCAGTCATGTGCACGCCCGTCTCTTTATTTAGTTCTTAGCTGTGCAGGGACAACAAACGAGCTGATGCATCACAACGTGGAGAAAAATAAACCTGCTTTAGAAAAATCTAACTTGTTTTAGAGATATACCTTAGTGATCTTTGGATAATCTTACACAGATTAAAGTTAGAGAGCTGCATTGTTAGAAATTAAAAGTTTAGACTGATTCAAGCCCTGTAAAATATTTTAAACTTTCCCCGTCTTGGTTTAACAACAGTTTGAACATCTATATTAATATCATATAACAGAGAAAATAACTCCTTAGCTTGACAAAAGATTTTCTTAAAATTATTATTTCCCTTCAATTATAAACCATTTGAGCACAACAGGTTACAGTAAATACTGGCAATCAGGATAAAGTGAGAAAAACTACAAACAGCTCCATTGTTGTAGTTTCTAAGGCACAAAGGGATTGTGGGAACGTTCAAAACATCGTCACTTCTCAAACGTTCCGAGTCTAGACAGGTACACCAAAAACTGAGCTGTTTTTTTTATTATTATTATTAATGAATTAATTTAATGCATCACAATTCACTTCCCCTCGCATCCCAGGAGGACGTTCATCAAATGGTAAGTTTGTTTCTTTTTATTATTCCTGTATCAACGTCTTGTAACCTGCATTTAAGTTTTTTTTAACTAATGACATTTTATCATGTTCCTGGTCACAATGTGCTGCTGTTACGTGAAACACAAGGAGCCTAAAATGCTCATTCTCCACGTGACGTTGGTACGGTCAGGTTTTACGTAGATTAATACCAAAAATGTAAATGCATCAAAAAATGTATTAAAACAGACCAAAGTTGAACGGAGTGCCCTGGTGATGTGGGACGCCGACAAGAAATAAAGATCTGCTTCTCTTGTTTTCAATCTTTCCTTTCCGAGTCTGCCTTGATGGAAATGCCAGCTTGTTTTGAAAGATAAAACTCACACCCCGACATTTCACTCCGAGCAACCGGCTCCACCCTCCCATAAAACCACTACAGCTGGAGAACGGCCGCCACTGCCCATCGGACGTCAGAAGGCGAGCCTAAAAACAGAATATGGGTTGCATGTTTAAGTCAGACTTGCTGAGTGATGCAGACTGCACCAGCATGAAGGCCAAGCACATTCACAGGCTCAGGCCAGTGAGGATTTAATCATACGAGTTAAAGACACTCAGAGATGCCAAGTGCGTCACGTCTTGTCTGATGGGAAGGGAGAGGGATCTTTGAAGGCACGTGTCAAACTCAAGAGCCGCGGACCAAATCTGGTCCCCCAAGATCATAATTTAGGGGTGCACAGATTGCAGTTTTCTGGACGATCACAGATTTCTAATAAACCTGATCACCCGATTCCGATATTGTTTTCCAAGCGACGCTGTCAGGTGTTATAAGTTCACAATGCACCTTCAATTTTCTAATATTTTATTGAAAAACATACCCATGAACAATATTCTGGAAACAATACAAACTTGTTTTAACTGGCCATGAGGTAGTGCTCTGGAATATAAATGAAGTTCAGACAATTGTTGTTAAAACTAATATCTATATCTATCTATATCTATCCATCTCTCTCTCTCTCTCTCATATATATATATATATATATATATATATATATATATATATATATACACATATAC